CTGGTTTGATTGAAACTTCAAAACACAGAACACAACTAATGAAATGGAGCACAGAGTTAACAGCTTCAATTTTATCTGTTTGATGAGTAAACCCTTGGACTTATGTAAATCTGAGCTGAGTCTCGTGATTTTGACCTTCTGTAGATCACACTTTACAGCCAATCTCTCACATTCTTCAAGGATTTCTTCCACTTCAGTGTCACTATCCTTGTCTTCTTCAATATGTGAAATAGGGTTTTCAAGTAGTGCCATGAACAAGCACTCATCTCCTTGACTTTCTTCAGGTTTCTCTTCTTCAGGGCTTGCACCCCAATCTGAAACAAGAGCCTTCCTTCCAAATCTACCTATGTTATTGAAGTTCTCATTCTTCTTCTGAGGATGACCTTTTGAATTAGTACAATTGGCTACATACAACCATAACAGGTTTGTTATGACTGAGACTTCTTTTTGAACCTGAACTTTCTGAACTTTTTGGCAAGGTAAGCAACTTCATCTTCTTTAAGATCATCATCTTCAGACTTAGGTTCAGCATCCTCAACCACTTCTTTGGCCTTAAGAGCAACTTCTCTTTTATGTTGTGTAGGAGCACCAATTCTCATCTCATATGCGGTGAGTGAGGCTTGAAGATCATCAATTTTCATCTGAGAGAGGTCTTTGTCTTCAAGAATCGTGACCTTAGCATTGAACTTTGAAGTTAAGGTTCTTAATATCTTTTTGCACACTTCAGCGTCTTTTACATCTTCACCAAGAGCTTTCATGTTGTTTACAATTTCACTGATCCTGAATAAGTACTTTGACACAACTTCCCTTTCTTCCATCTTGTAGCTTTCATATTGAACCTTGAGAAGTTGTATCTTGTTCTTGATAACATTATTCCCTTCATGTGCAGCCTTGAGAGAATCCCACATTGTTTAGGTATTAGTGTTATTAAAGGCCCAAGGCGCACCAAGGCGCTAGAGGTTCTTTGAAGCTTAGGCGCGAGGTGCGCGCCTGAGTGAAGTGAGGCGCACAATTGAAAATTTAAAACTACAATAATAACATTTATATCTCATAAGTCAAATATAAAAAAGTAAATCCATCAACCATAAAACAGAGCACAAATTTGGTTTCTTGAAAGGAAAAGCAAAATGTGTTTTTTTGTATGGCAAAACAAAGAACAAAAAGAAATAAATATGTTAACCAAAAAAAAAAAAAGACAAAAGAAAAAACAGAGCAAAAAAAAAAAAAAAGACAGAGAGGGGAACTAAACGAAGAGAGAGATGTAAACAAAGATAAGAAGAGAGGGGAGATCTAGAGGAGAAGAGAGAAAAAAAAAGAAAGAAAGAACTGTAGTGGCTTCGTTGTTTATCTTTGCAACTATGGCTTCGTCTTCGTCACACAATCTCATTCTATCGCTCTTCAGTTAACACTTTGATTCTTGTGCTTTCTTATTTTTTTATTCTTTTGTACAAAAGTTCCTTCTATCGTATGCTTGGGCTTTCTTTTTTGTTTATTAAGTTGCCAAAAGTACCCTTTTTGGCTTAAGAAATAGAACAATTGTATTTTTGTAAACAAATATTACAAACAGGATGAGGCGCAACTGAGGCGTGCGCCTAGTAAACATCAATGAGCCTGGGATGACAGCAGGTGCTAAACCTGAGCCTTGAGCCTAGGCGCGAGCCTGGGTGCGCCTTTAACAACACTGTTAGCTGTCTTGCAGTTCTTGATTCTTGTGAACTCTTGTTGCTTGAGAGCACTAAATAGATCATGCCCTGCTCTTCCATCATTAGCTAGAGCAACTTTATCATCTACAGAGGGGTTGGCTGGAATGAGAACCATAAAACCATAAATGGTTGCATGCCATATGTTGGGGGAGAAATCCACGCGGTCCGATACGACACCGTTTTCCTGCAAAGAAGAGAATAGAAGATCGATGAATCTTGACGGCACCGGTGTGGTGCCTACCAAAAGCTCTCCAACGATTAAGTCAGTCACCGGAGGTCTAAAAGAAAGGCAGGGATTTAATAATCATTTTTTGTCGTACCTTTATTGATTGGTAGGATCTCATTCTTATAGCCGCTCTCCCTCAGTTCATTTGCGGGATCAAAGGAGATCCGTTTTTGCAAGATCAGAGGAGATCCGTTTGTTGCTAGATTTGTCGGGGATATGATTTACCCCTTTGACTTCTTCAAATTGTGCCAAGGTTATTCTTACCCTGTTGAACCACGTCATCTTATCTTATCCTTGATAATGAAATATTATCATTCTTATCCAATGGAAATATCATCGTTCGAAAGTCGAAGAGGTCTGGCAGCTGGTCAACACTTAGTTGCCTCTATTGTTAGGTCAAGGTAGGTTAGGTTTATTTTTCCCTATCACCATACATCATAGGACTGAGACATGAGAAAAGCTTCCATCCTTGTTTTCCATAAATCATAATTGGATCCATCAAAATCAGGTGCTTTGTTTGTAACTTGACCTTCTTTCATTACACAAGATCTTCTGCAGGTTGGTTAAAATCTCAAAAAGGCAGACCAAAGCTCTGATACCAATTAATGAACCGAAGAGAGGGGGGGGGGGGGGTTTGAATTGGTTCTTGTAATAAACTTTTCTTCTTTGTATGATCAATGCAATGTAGTGAGTATGACAATAGATTCAACAAACTTCCACATACACTTTCAAGACTCAGTGCATTTACAAGGAAAACCCTCTCAATAGGGAAAACCTCGGTCTTGGCCTCAGCTAATAAAATCTCCACTAGTTGTATGCAAGTAGTTACACACTCAGCTATCTCACTCTCTGCACACACCCTTGTACAAGAAGAAACACTAGCTTTCACAGCTTTTACACACACACTAGTAACACTAAGTGCACACTGCACTCCCCCTGTCCACAGCACCCTTGCTTGGACCTAATGAGCACTCACAGCACACAAACAATACATGAAAAGGTTTACAATCAATAATACTTAAGCTGTATTACAAGATCAAAGTGATAAATAAGCTTAAAGTATCAACACAGACACTCAGTCTTCATTCCTCTGAAACTAGGGTTTGAGGGGCAAAATAGGAATTTCGAGTCCCACAATCTCAGAGATGGAATCCACAGCCTTGTATCTTCATTACAGTTATGCTTAGATGATAATCAAGATGAATATAGCATGTGTATACAAATACTACTCAAGTACAAGCTCAAATCTGCAGAAACTTGAAAACTTGGGTTTCACAAAGTCAAACACTGGATTGACCTTAATCCTGTGCAAACCTCAACTTCAATAGCCTTGATTCAGCTATAAAACTTGCCCAGATGATAAAAATGCAACTCGTAGCAAGATATAGTGATAATAAGTTCAGATCAACAAGCTAAACCAGAAAACCAAGCTGATATACAGGTATGAGACATCAAAATCAAATGCAGCAAAAAAGATGGTCATAAACATGCTTTTTACAGATGTAAAATATGTAGTTTCACTTGCCTCAACCTTGTACAAGCACCACAGCAAGCTCAAACCAAAACCAAATTAAGGCCTTCAATCCAGCTTCTGCACCAATAAAATTCACAGCTACATGCCTTCATTTGATTTTCAACACTTGTGTATTCTTTGAATGGATTTCTGAGCTTAAATCAAGCTTTCATCATTACATATAATAGTAGAAAAGTGTGTTCTTATTCAGCTCTCAATACACTCACTATTCAGCTTGCTATAAGGGTTCACTCGAAGGCTTAAAACCCTAAAATGGCTACAGCAGCATATATATAGTACATCAAAGAGGAAATGTATGTGTCACCAATATCCAATCATTGGCCATGGAATTATCTGAAATTCCCTCTTGAAAATACCATAATACCTTTGCCACCTTTTCAGAAAATATCTTCAATAAGCATCCTTATTGATAGCCTTGAAAATGTATATGTATAGGCATGTATCACAAGCTTAATCACTTAGCAAAGAATGACAACCTGCATATTCTCATACCAGGACCACAAGACACGTGTCATAAGAGTTCTCAGCATATATACATTGAACAAAATGCCCTCACAAAGATATTGTCAATAAATAGAGAATTCAGCTGTTGAACCTGTGAATACTTAGAACACCTGTGAATTTAAGCAATTCAACACAATGTACCATCATACACAAATGTAATATGATATAATACATTGTGGAAAGACCTAATTGCCCCTTAGAAGCTCTGTATCAAAATATCAATGTCTGTGCTAGGGTTTTTAACCCTGAGATGTCTGCAGAAGAGTCTTCAATACAATGTACCTTAGATCATTTGGAAAGTCTTCTCAACACTATGAAATGACCAAGTTACCTTGTAGGTCAATTGAATGCATTGTTCAAGCCAGAAATGCTTGGAACTCATTGTAGAGAACCTCTGATGGACTTCTTGACATTTAATAGGGCAAACCCTAATTCAAAGGTGGGACCAACAGACGACCTCTACTTTAGATTCAGAATCAAACCTTGCAAGAAAAAATCCATCCTTGAGTTGCACTAATTTCAGTTCCTTCCCCCATCTGCGATGAATGAATGCTTGAAAGAAGGGGAAATAAGATTTTTTCCCCATAACATAATCTTTCAAGGAGTGTTTCCAGTACTGTATATCTCCCTCGACATCTCCATCAGTGATGTCAACTTCCTCATCTGTCTGCTTTCTGCATGGAATGATAGATTCACGAAGGAGACTTTTGAGTCTTTCTCAAAAAGTCTCCATGTGTTACATGGGGGAGATGAAGAAGAGACTGTATTCGCTCCCAATGGCTGTATGGAGGAGGTACAGCCCTCCTCCATGGAGGTTTGGAGATTGTCTTCCACACATAGAACCCTAGTTCTCAAATCGGCTGAAACCCTTGCTTTCATTCAAAAGAAGTTTCTTTAGCTCTTATTCTTCTTCGAAAATTTGCCGTATTTGTGATTACTTGTGCTATTCGTGATAAATTTCAAAATTTGTTGTTCTTCAACAGTTTTACATGCTGAATTATATATGTACTTAATTGAGATTTTGTTACTCCAGGAACTACTGCATATATAGAGCAGTCACTCCCATTTCCACAGGATGGTAAACAGGTTAGTGCAATTTCTTACCAACAGAAACGGAAATTATTTCTGTCTTCGGTGTTGTCACCCATTTCCATTGTTGTGACAAATTCTTGTCTTTTATCTCCCCCCCCCCCCCATATTACCTTGATATCCGAGACCTTTTGTTCATTTATTTTTTGCCAGAACATTTCTGTGATATATGTGTGTGTGTGTGTGTATATATATATGCTTATTTCATTTTTCTCCAGCCAATCTTTTAGGAATTCACAATAGACGGTTGTTTTTGTTATTATTGATATCTGTTTTGGTAGGTTTTAAAAGGCCTATACATAAAGCAAAATAATTGCTTCTAGAAACAGGAAACAATTTAGCATGATGCCCGATGCTTAGTTGCAACTGAAGTGTATTGCTACTCTCTGTGCCTTACCACCCCACTCTGTGAATATTGCTGCCATCTCCAAATGTGCTTTGTCTACTTTTTTCTTTCTGAAACATGTTCTGTTGTGCTTGCCTAACTTGCTGTTGTTTATTGAATTTTGGGAACAATTGTGAGTTTTAAAAATTTTGAAAACATAAAATAGGAAACTAAAAGCACGACCAAGTCCAATCAAGCCCCTAAATATTTAAGTCACTTTTAAATATCTATAACTTGCCTATATCATTGATGCCACTAGAGAATAGTTTTGTGCATTTCCTTTTGAACATTAATTGTTTTATTGTGATAAAAATACTCTACTATGTTTCAGTTTACCTGTTTTATACTTTCTTCTATTGCACTTCCTTGCATTCTTAACATAGCATCCATAGTTTGCCTGTATTTGTAATTATACATTTTGTAACATTTCATGCTGAAACTTGTTTTCTTTTGCAATAAAGGGATGGTGGAGTGGAGGATTTGGGTATGGGCTATGGATTGGAAGCTTAGTTGCTTCAGGATTTTCTGTTGTTCCCGTCCCATCTTTTGTTTGGAAGAACAGTTTTAAACTCTCCGGAAATGGCTCAAGTAAGGTCTGTTTGATCCTTCATAAACTGGCTTAAGCCTATCTCAACCTCTATTATGATCTCCCTTGTCAGAACTATGAAGATTCAAGATGCTTGCATTATAGATCAACTTTGACTACTAGAAAATTTCATTCCTAGTTTTTTGAAATTTATAAAATATATGATTGACATTGACTTGATATTGTTAAAAAAAGATTACTGAAAAAGAGTATGCTGTAATTAAGGTTGCATAAGAATAAAGTTGTTCTCAAACGGCTTTATATTGACTATCTTTTATTTGTCTAAATGACTGGGCTTGAGCCTACCTTTTCAGTTTGATTGTTAAACGAGCAAGCTTAGGCAAGGCTGAGCTTGTCTGGGTTATATATTAATATATACAGTAGGCTAGAATATTAACCGATTACTAAAGATGCTCAACAGTTGTCTGCAATCTTTTGGATTTCTCTAAAGTTATATATGGTGGTTACCACAAGGCTTTAGCTAAGTATCTTCTCCTTTTTCCATTTGGAAGGTTGAGGGTTCAAGACCCCGTGAGGACAATAGGGGGTAGGGGTATGTGTGTGTGTGTTTCGGCAGGTGATGTATAAAAACTCATCCTCTCACCATGAACAAATATTTTAAGTTTTTATATTGGAAAATACTCAGAGGGCCAGGACTGAAGATTCCCATGATATGCGCGGCACACACAAAGATGATGGGGCTTTCCTTTGGCTGCTTAGTCATGCTTGGACAGCTGTCGTGGGAGGATTCTGACTTTGGACAAATCTAAGAGGAGACATATTGTAGTGAACTAGTGCTTCATGTGCAAGAGGAATGAAGAATCATCATCTTCTGTTGCATTGCCTTGTGGCTAGGAATAATTGGGGACTGATCCTTGCTTTGTTTGGAGTTCAGTGGGTTATGCCTTGGTCCACGCCACCATGGTTGAGGGTTGGAGAGGGTGTACAGTGGGTCCCAAGCCCATGACTTTTGGAGAGTGGCACCTTTGTGTGTGTGCTGGTGTCTGTGGAAGGAAAGGAATAGGAGATCCTTCGATGGTGAGGAGACTCCTATTGGGAAATTGAAATTCTTGATCATTTCTTCTCTTTTTTTGTTGGGTCTATGTGAGGAATTGTAAATCTACGAGGGAGATAGTTGAGTCTTTGGACAGTTTGAGAGATTAGGGGCCCTATTTGGTCCTTGCTTGTTTTCATGGGCCGCGTTCCTCATTTCAATGCTCTTTTTTACAATCTTATTTATCAAATAAATAAATAAAAGAAATAAAAAAAATAATGACCATTTAAAAAATGTGTACATTTCTGTTCCAGGATTTAATATAAAGTTGATACATCCTTTAATTGATTGCTGTATGATTCTTTTATGCATGCTCAATTTCATTTATACAAAGACATGGGCATCCCCAATACGGTACAATGATGATCACGCACCTGAAGTGCCATGTGGGTGAATTGGAGAAGTTGCCTGCCTTGTCATTCTGTCTATTTTGAGAAGTTGGATCCCACACCATGTCTGAATGTGACACCCATCTTCATTTCTTCATACTATAGCAGTAAACTTATAAGCTATTTATACAAGAATTGTGTATAAAAATGTTAAGTAAATGTTGGCTTTTGGCAGGACGATAGCAGGGAGATGGCAGCAACTTTGTTTCCGTCTATGAGTTCCTTACTGAGAAGGAAGAAAGATCATGGTATATACATATTTTTGTCTATTATCTTATTAAATAAATTTAATTTGCTATCAGAAAAACAAAAGGAAAAAAGAGCTAACTGTATATTTTCTTTTAAATAACTTTTCCTATAATTCATTTCTTCCCTTTTTACCATAGTAAAATGGTATTTCTGAAGAAAAAAGAGCAAAATGCATGAATGAAGAAAGAACTAGCACATGAAAATCGTGCTATACAATGGCTTATATTAGATGAACTCTACTATCATATGCCGTATACTTGATTTTGACGACCCTCTCGCTGCATTTGACTAGACGTTTCCTTGTGTTCAAAATTCTTTATTTATGCTCCATAGACACCACAATATGGGAAGAATTATGATGTTTAGATAAAAATGCTTGTCCTCAGAGGTATAAAACTCAAAAACAAACAAATAACACCCTTCCATGTTTGTGCAGCTACGGTCCAAAGCTCCTGGTCATGAAGAACATAATCAATCCACCTATGGTGGTCATTACGCAATGAAGAACATAATTAAGCATCTGCATTGCTTTAATGCACATAACATTAATAAATCATCTTCATCGTTTGAATGCACATAATATTATCAAAAGTCTGCACTCTATTGCTTGGATTTCATGTTTTGCTTTATTGTCCATGCTACAAAGTGTCACTTCATATGAGAATTTCCTTTCCCCACTCTTCTGGCCACACATGAAAAGAAAAAAGGAGAGAGATCTCAAGAAATAGTATTAAATTTTTCCTCCAATCTTGAAAAGTTCTTATATATCTTGTAGCGTATTGCATCCCCACTCTTTAGTCTTGTTAAATTATTTGAAATAGTCTCCTTATTCATGAGAGTGGATAGAAAATCCATTTAAAAGTCACCTTATGCACTGTAAATATCATGCCCCCAAGTTTGAAAACTGAACAATCTTGTCCAACAGGAAAACCGAGTGCATGACTGGGATCATAACACATCCAAATTACACAATTCTAAGCTGTAAAATATTGATTCCATAAGTTTCATAATAGTTTCATCAATGATAAAATTAAGTGCACCTTAATAAATCTGAATAACTCAATAAAGTCTCAAAAGTTCTCATTAACAATAACAATAACCTTAATCTCAATAATCAACTACACTAGTCAATTACATAAAATCCATACTACATGGTCTCTCATAGCAAAGCCTAAACTATTGTTACAACAATCACAAACCAAGTAACAATCACGAAAGACGACAAAACAATCACCACACATGACATAAAGATTTAGCGTGGTTCGACGTAAGTTGTGTTTACGTCCATGATGGAAATCCGTATTTCACTATGTGAAAAACAGGATATTACACGTTTCAGCCCCCAAACCCTAGCTCTCAGTCTCTCTCTCTTGTCCACAATTTTTAGTGTTCTCTCACACCCCACTCCAAACCCTAAGTGCCCTTATGTATCGGGCTACAAGAGAGTACTAAATATGGTCCCACAAGCAAAAAAGGGGTCAAAATAATTTCCTCGGGGGCGCTGCCCTCTGAATCGGGTCGCATTGAACAAAATTCGGGCCACAATATCACAAATCTCCACCTTGGCTCGAATTACACCAAGCTGCAGAATCTCTAGCTACTCCTTTCGCCTCCTCCACATACCCTAAGGGCCTTAGCAACTGCAATCATTATCAGAAAGAGAGGGGGTGGGGGATCATTTCAATCATTATCAATTTTGAAGAATCTAAAACTGTTGGTTTGTGATTAGTATTTTTGTTTTGTGAAATCACAACTAGTAACCAATTTGAACATAAATGTAAACATCGAAGCATTGAATTTATGAAGAATCCTCGCTCAGCTAGCTGGTTTAATGTGCAATAGTGCATCACACCTCCTTTCTCATCTACAAATTTGCACCTATTTTTTCTTTCTTTTTCCCAGTAGAACTATAATGAACAAACTTAATCTGCTTCATGCATTAAATATATCCATAATGGTTTGAGATCATCTTACGACTAAACGTGAACCCTGAACCTTCTATGAATTTAACGTAGCAGAAACGATAGAGAACAGGGTTAAACCCTTGAATTCACAAAGAACACACTCACAAGAGAGAAACTGAAATTATATTGATAATGATGATGTTTGTAGACTTACATCTCTTGCCTTTATATAGGCAAGTCAAAAAAAGAAAAAGAAAAAGAAAAAAGAAAGCATTCGTGAAATAATATTAAAGGGGAAATCTAAGATTTGATGGAGCAGAATCCTCCTTAAATCTTGTAATGGAGAATAATATCTTCTATTATTGACAACTACACCAAATCTTCTTATTTATTTTCTGAATCCTCCTTAATTCTTGCAATGGAGAATAATATCTTTTATTGTTGGCAAATACTCCAAATCTCCTTTTGTCTTTTCCTTATTTATTTATTTTTTTCTTCTATTCTCCTTACCTTTTCAGCCTCCTTGATTTGCAATGATCTTGTATGCTCAAATAATCGTGAGCGACCTGTGTGTCGGTTTGAGAGCTAGTGTTTTGTGTGGGTTCAGATTGGTTATTCTGGGAATCTGTGATTTGAGTGGACTCTGGCTGGGTATTGTGTGAAGGAGGAATGGGTGAAATGGGCAATGTAACTGGTGAATTAGGGCTGACAATATCCTCATGAAGCCAAAACTGATATTCTTGTGTGTTTGAGTTCTCCCCCTGAATATGAGTTTTGGGGTAGAAAGGTTAATTTTCAAATCTGATTGGGAGAATAACCTAGAAATACACACTTTATGGCCCTAGGACCAAGCTTGCTTCTGTGATGTTGGTGAACATGAACAAATGTTGAACAACCAAACACTTTAATGGTAAGGAAGAAATGATTCTAGTTTGAGGATAGATTCGGGTGAGGGTTTGGCAAGCTGTAAGAACTCTAGATGACATCCTATTGGTGGGATAGGCAGCTGTAAGAACTTCTTCTCCCCAGAGATGTTTTGGAACTTGAGAGACCTTGCAACTTCTAGAAGGTGTCTATTTTTTCTTTCGGTGACTCCATTTTGTTGTGGGGTGTCCACACAAGAACTTTGGTGAATAATGCCATTACTTATTAGGTAACCCCCGAGAATAGAATGAAAATATTCTCTGCCATTGTCTGCTCGAAAGACTAGGATTTTGGCTTGAAATGTGTTTGGATTATGGTGTTGAAGTTTTTGAAGATTAGACCAACTTTTGATTTTTCTTTCATAAGATATATCCAAGTAATTCGAGTGTGGTCATCAACAAAGGATACAAACCATCTAGCCCCTGAAACATTATTGACCTTAGAAGGCCCCCAAATATCACCGTGAATGGTTGAAAATGGATGAGATGCTTTATAAGGTTGAGTTGGACAAACATTTCGAACATGTTTAGATAATTGACAAATCTCACACTGAAAAAACTTTGAATTTTTATTAATGAATAATGAAGGAAATAGTTTTTCAAGATAAGAGAAACTAGGATGTCCTAATCAATAGTGCCATAACCGAATTGCACTATCACCACAAGAGCTAACACCTGAAAGAGAGGATACCCAATTTGCACTTTGAGTTTGTTCTTCAAAAGAGTCATCAATTCTAAGAAGGTAGAGTCCCGCACTCCTTAGTATTGAAACACCTGAGTCCATTATCCAGGAACATGGTTTCTCATTTTTGGCATTTAAAGCACTCAAAAATTACCTTCATGTGCTATAGAACCAGTTCCAATGATAGAATTTGATTGAGATTGGCTGAAAGGTCCATTTGCTCTTTGCTGAAAAGAGTTGTTTCTGCAGGCGATTGCTCGTCGGTAGTGGCTGTAAAACCGCGGCCTTCACGTTCAGGAGGTGGCTGCCATTTGTTCTTCGGTTTCCAATCAGCGGGCTTGCCATGTATCTTCTGGCAGGTTTCTCTGGCGTGTCCTGCTTTATGACAGTGGTCACACTGTGGTCTGTTCTTGTTATTCCGGTTGTCATTACCAGTAGAGTTCACTCCGCAAGAAACAAGAGCTGAACTCTCAGTTGGGGCAGTGATGCTTTGATTTCCCATCATCACTTTCTTACAGCTCTCTTCTCTTCGAACCTCAGAGAAGGCTTCATGGATGGATGGCAGAGGCTTTATTCCAAGAATTCTTCCTCTCACTTCATCTAAGTATTTATTAAGACCTAACAAAAACTTGAAAATTCTTTCTTTATCAACAATCTTCTTGTATTTGATGTTATCTCCAGGGCATTCCCATTCTAGTGCTTCAAACGAGTTGAAGTATTGAGTATTGAGTTGCCTATAACGAGTGAGAGTGTTGAAGTATTGAGTGACCGACATTTCCCCTTGTCGAAGATCATGAAGAAGATTCTTTATCTCAAAGAGTTCTACAGTATTTTCATTGTCAGAGTAGGTCTCTCTTGCTGCATCCCATATTTCTTTTGCTGTCCCGTAGAATAAGAAATCATCACCAATCTCATTTTTCATGGAATTGATTAACCATGACATCACCATATTGTTTTCAGATTTCCACACCTTGAACTTTGCATCTTCCTTCGGTGGAGCCTTTGCAGCGCCTGTGAGATAGATCATAACGGACTGAGACCATTGAAGATAGTTCTGTTCGTTCAGTTTATGCCCTATAATGGGAACAATAGAGCTTTCTGATACACCACCTTCGTTGCTGGGAAGGACCGTCTCTGGTTGAGAGTTACCATCTGAGATAGTACTGTTTTTCTCGTTGGACTTAACACCGTATTTGACCAAAAAAAAAAATCTATCGGTTATTTCATTAATTCATTCTGGAAAAAAAGGGTAAAGTAATCCCTGATACCATGAAGAAAAAAAGGGTAAAGTAATGCCTTATTTCATTCATTCTGGAAACCGTAGGGTACAAAGAATTTATAGGAGAAAAATACAACTAACCTATAATTAACGGACTTGAAAATTAAAAGATCTAGTAACCAAATCTCCTACTTTCTATATTCACAAATTCAACTTAGCTAAAATAAAAATCTCTTCCCTAGAAAATAGGGATCTAAATCCGGAATTCAAC